CATGGTTTCCAACAGTTTTCCGAGCGTAGTTACAATACAATTGATAATGACGTCACAATGAGAACGATGTAATGCCATAAAAATGACGTTACGACATCATAATAAGATCGTAGGTTATGTCGGCATAATTGAACTCGCGAGTATCGATATCCTACAGGCCGTTAATACATTTATTTGCACTAAAGTCAACCGATTCGGAGATTTTGGCGATTTTCTGGTCCACTGGCGGCCATCTTGGATTTATGTTACTTATGCAAATTTCCCAAGACCGATAATGGCCGCTTTTGTTATGGAAGTACTAGAGACCATACCTGAACGATTCCCAAAGAAATGATTTCTGTTGCAGTTTGTTCTAGGTGTATTGTTATCTATACCCGCCTATAATGACAGTTTTGGTGATGTATCCTTCCTTGTTAGTTTTAGATGTGGTAGGATTGGTGGGCTGTTGGTTGTTGCGTTCCAACTGGTTGAACTTATTGGTTTGGCGGCTCTTGACGAGGGTGTCTAGCTTAGCATTGGTTTCTATCTGTTTGTTGCGTAGAACCTTATATGTTTCAGGGGTTAGTATAGTAGCAAGTTGGTTACGTTGATCTTCTGTTACTTTGAAAATGCGTTGTTTTTCATTTCTTAAATGCTGAATACGTTCGTGCATAAGGCACTGACTAGCTTTGCGGAGAATTTTCTGTGCGGCTGATGACGCAACTGGTGACTTGAGGGTGAATCCTTTCGGCACCAAACAACTATCTCTACATCGCATGAGAAATGTTAGACTGTTACACACCTTGATATATTTACCCTCAGATTTACTACATTTTGCATACGTATAAAGCATATATAGAGACCTTTTTTTAAGTGGCAATATTTGAACTAAGGGTATTTTACTGTCAACCAAAATACGGAATTGGTGCTTCTAGGCTGTAAATAAGTTATTTTAGTAAATAACATTTAGTCGTAGAATTTATGTGCTAGGTCATTTGTCTACATGACGTCATCACTTGATACCATTGAAAATAAAGGAATCCGATGCGGCTATTTATAAGGAAGTCGCCTTCTTCTCATCAAAAATGAAAATCTAATGCTTGTAAGTATGTTTTAGGTTTTGGTACTTATCTTAGACCTAAGATTCCTTTTTTGTCCCATTCGGAAAATTGTTTTGTTTATTCCTTTTCTAATTCGTGTAAATCTTTGAAACTGTGACAGGTAGAGTTCTGAATATTGATTTTCACATGTTTTAAACTGTTAGTGCTTATAACTATCGCGAAAGTTATGAACAGACCCGAAGTGAAGTAAATCTTTAACGTGCACGAAAATTGAAAATCGGCCCTAACTATGTCAATTCCCAACCGATTTTCGAAAAAGTTACATTTTTGTACAGCTGGGGATATTGCGGATGGGATAACGGCCGAAGAGAGATATCGTGTCGTTCTCATTTTTTCTTCAAAATTTGAAAATTTACTAATATTGTTATTTCTTGGAATTTTGAGTTTTTGATTACATATTTGGATTGTCGGCATCTGTTCGATTCTACCGATCTAGGAATAATCATGATGTGAATTGTTCAGCTATATTTTTCAATTTCCTTCTATCGTAATGCGCATGCAAAGAACTTGTCAATATCTGAGTTATGCAAGTATGTGATTTTATTTGGGGGGTGGGGGGAGTGGCGGGGATAGTCTTTGTCATGCATCTGGCGACCGTGTGACACCTTGGCTACGGTGAAAGCCTTCAGTCTTGCAAGCAAGTCTAGTCTTTAATTGATATTACATACTCATGAAAATATGTAATACCCAGAATTCTCAATAAGTCTGACCCAGCTGATAAAGCCAAATTTTTGGGAGGGGGCGCTTGGCTGTCGTGTCTCTTGGGAGAAGTAGTGTGATCCCTGGGGTGCTGAACAATTTCCAAGCAGTTTTAAGTGGTACACACTTCAGCTACTCTAGCCTAATTGCGAGGCGTGTCAATTTGGGCGTGTCTATTAGTGGTAACCCACCGTACAATCTGTTTGGCAGTGATCATTCATGATTCCTTTGGTAGTGCGAACAACACCAAAGCAGTTATAAGTGGTACATATTTCACCTAATCTAGCCTAGTTGTGGGGCGGGGCATTTTGGGTGTTTCTTTCAGGGGTACCCCACCGCAATATCTGTCTGGCGGTGGTAATTCATGATCCCTGTGGTGGTGCTGAACAACTTCCAAACACTTTTAGGTAGTACGGACTTCAGCTAATCTAGCCTAGTTGGGGGGGGGGGGGGGGAGGGGGTTCGTCGTGTCTGTCGGGGTAACCCACCGCACAAATTGTCTGGCAGTGATCATTCTTGATTCCTGTGGTGGTGCTGAACAACTTCCAAGCAGTTTTAAGTGGTACAGATTTCAGCTAATCTAGCCTAGCTGTGGTCTGGCAATTACATAACTCTGTCAAGGGTACCCCACTACTAGAAATGTCTGTCAGAGTGTTTTTGTAATACTTGAAGATGTAAGGTACACTGGTGTACCATTATCATGTGGTACACTTTTGAGCTAATCTAGCTCAAGAATTCATACCCAGTATCGTAGCCCTCACAGCCACACCCACCACTAGATACCCGACAGACATATTTTGATGATACCAGATATGCATGCATTAATACCATATCAGCTAGGTTGACCCCCTGGGCTCTTGCTCTATTCATCCATTCATGATCCTAACACTTCCAACCAAATTTGAAGAAATCTCTTAAAACCTATATCCTCTATCGCATTCACATGGTTTTTGGCAAAGGGGGATAACATCAGAACAGAAAGTCTCAGAATGTTGAATATGAATAGAATTCAATCTCTCATGATCCCAATACTTCCCACCTAATTTGAAAGAAATCCAATAAAGGTTTTCTAAAAAGGCGGATAACTTCGGAATGAACAAGCGGCTGCCAGGCAGGATACGCCCACATTTTCGAGAGATGGATAGAGAACAAGCTAAAAAGAAAGTGATTTTTCCTACAATCAAGGGCCATAATTCAGGAAATTACAATTCGATATGCGCAAATATCGAAAGGAACCAAGATCTTTGGGTTATAAACATACATTTTAAGTTTCAAGAAAATCGGATAAAAATTGTGACCTCTATAGGGTCCACAACCTTGATATACCATATTTTTTCGCTATTTGAGAACGAGAGGCGGCCATTTTTGGACGATTTTCACGAAATTCAAACACAGCTGTCCTTAGTGTGTAACGGTGATATACTAAAACATTTTTTTTAAAATCGGTTAAAAATTATGACCTCTATAGGGTCCACAAGCTAAAATGGTGATTTTTCCTACAATCAAGGGCCATAATTCAGGAAATTACAATTCGATATGCGCAAATATCGAAAGGAACCGAGATCTTTGGGTTATAAACTTACATTTCAAGTTTCAACAAAATCGGATAAAAATTGTGAACTCTATATAGAAATGAAATGAAAATGAAATGGGGTTTAACGTTTTACTGTTTTGCTCCAAACTGGGCTAATGAAGACGGAACTCTATATAGGGTCCACAACCTTGATATACCATATTTTTACACTATTTGAGAACCAACGGCGGCCATTTTGTCTGTCAATTTTGGGCCGATTTTCATGAAATTCGAACTCAGCCGTCCTTAGGGTGTAACGGTGACATAATAATACGGTTTTTAAAATTGGATAAAAATTATGACCTCTATAGGGTCCACAAGCTAAAAACACGATTTTTCGTAAAATCAGGGGCCATAATTCAGAAAGTCACCGTCCGATATGCGCGAATATCGAAAGAAACCGAGATCTTTGGGTTATAAACTTACATTTCAAGTTTCAAAACAATCGGATAAAAATTGTGACCTCTATAGGGTCCACAACCTTGATGGATAGAGAACAAGCTAAAAAGAAAGTGATTTTTCCTACAATCAAGGGCCATAATTCAGGAAATTACAATTCGATATGCGCAAATATCGAAAGGAACCAAGATCTTTGGGTTATAAACATACATTTTAAGTTTCAAGAAAATCAAATCAAAATTGTGGCCTCTAGAGTATCCACAACCTTGATATACCATATTTTTACGCCATTTGTGAACAAACGGCGGCCATTTTGTATGACAATTTTAGGCAGATTTTCACGAAATTCAAACTCAGCTGTCCTTAGGGTGTAACGGTGATATAATAATATGTTTTTTTAAATCGGATAAAAATTATGACCTCTATAGTGTCCACAAGCTAAAAACGTGATTTTTCATACAATCAGGGGCCATAATTCAGGAAGTTACTGTCCGATATGCGCGAATATAGAAAGGAACCGAGATCTTTGGCTTATAAACTTACATTTCAAGTTTCAACAAAATCGGATAAAAATTGTGACGTCTATAGGGTCCACAACCTTGATATACCATATTTTTACGCCATTTGAGAACAAACGGCAGCCATTTCGTCAATTTTGGGCCGATTTTCACGAAATACAAACTCAGTCGTCCTTAGGGTGTAACGGTGATATAATAATACGTTTTTTTAAATCGGATAAAAATTATGACCTCTATAGGGTCCACAAGCTAAAAACGCGACTTTTCGTACAATCAGGGGCCATAATTCAGGAAGTTACGGTCCGATATGCGCGAATATCGAAAGGAACCGAGATCTTTGAGTTATCAACTTACATTTCAAGTTTCAACAAAATCGGATAAAAATTGTGACCTCTATAGGGTCCACAACCTTGATATACCATATTTTTACGCCATTTGTGAACTAACGGCGGCCATTTTGTCCGTCAATTTTGGGAAGATTTTCACGAAATTCGAACTCAGCTGTCCGATATGCGCGAATATCGAAAGGAACCGAGATCTTTGGGTTATAAACTTACATTTCAAGTTTCAACAAAATCGGATAAAAATTGTGACGTCTATAGGGTCCACGACCTTGATATACCATATTTTTACGCCATTTGTGAACAAACGGCGGCCATTTTGTCTGTCAATTTTGGGCAGATTTTCACGAAATTCAAACTCTTATCTTACCATATAAACATAAATATTCTTAAAGTCATTTGGATTTTCAATTTTCTCCTGCAATAAATAAACATATTATTTAATGAAAAACTATAGAATGTATGCAGGAATTGCATCATTAACAACTTTAGAACCAACAGTACAAGCTATTTCATATGTAGATTCCTTCAGATTACTATTATCATACTCTTTAATTCAGCTTGTGAAAGGCTTTGGCTGGTAAACTCGGGTACCAAAATCATCTAAGCTAGTAAAATGCGGTATCCTTCAAATAATTTATGGAGACATACTCCTAAATACCTACTTACAGTTCCATAAAATATAACACCAATCAAGTCTTTATTACTGCTAATTATTTTGTTCTGCATGGTAGTTTGTATACACTAAAATTAAAAAAACAAATACCAGTATTATTTTCCAATATTATATCTTTTTGTTTTGAAAAGATCATGGACATTTGTTTTAAAGTGCACATAAGATGGATGTGGGAACTTTTCGCTATGTGTAGCCAATGGTTACTATATCCACTTTACGGCAAGTTCACACCAATCTGATTGAAAATAATTCAGCTATCTTCACTCAAAGTCGGAAAAATAGACCTCCGGTAAAAACGACTTTGCCAATTATCAAAAACACTCTTAATCCCCTCAGATGCCAGTGACGTCACAGTGACCGAATGCATATTCAGAATGTTTATTCCTTAATTACCTACATACAGCCGGCGTGTGTATTCATTAACGCCTGACTGATTCCTTAATCCCCTAATCAAATACAACAATTGACTATGGAATAATTTAGAATTTGTTTTATAATGTACTGCTCGCTCTCTTTTCTCACGACAATGATTTCAATACTATGTTTTAAGAGCCATTCCACGAGAAAACCATTCAGAAGGTTCGAAGGTTGGGGTCGGCCGATTGAGTTCATATTTACAGGGTTTGGTCGACCCATCGAGACTACTCCCAAGCCAAAATCGCTGATTTTAGAAATCAACAGTTTCTGAGATACAGCCCGATTACGTAATCGTCCTGTATCTCGGAAACGGTTGATTTCTGTATTCAGTGATTTTGGCTGGGGAGTAGGCTCGATGGGTCGACTAAACCCTGTGAGTATGAACTCAATCGGCCGACCCCCACCTTGGAACATCTGCCTGATATTACTTGATTTTCTCGTAAAATGGCTCTTAAAGTAACTTTGTCATAGAGTCCAGTGTTTAAAATTTACGTGGGTCCGTCACCAATAAATAACTGGACGGGCCGACATCTTTTTATTTTGAAGATGGCGGGTCAGCCCTGTGAGCCGACTGTTTTTGCCATGGATATTTTGTTCATGGTTCTATAAAATTCTCTTTTGAGAATATTTATATTGCTCCTATTAACACGGACCGGGCATCGTCCAGATTTTATGAAAAAAGGAAAGAAACTACGCTTATCATCTAGAATTTACAACACGTATCCAACTAATAGATTGCCGTCAAGTATGTGTTAAATACCGTCAAGATTCCCAAAAAATCTCAGTTTGTGCTACCGTGTAGATTAAGAAACACCGTTTACTTTTGACAACGATCGTCTGCTTTACGACCGTCCAGTTTCTCGGGATGTTTTTAAGAAATGAACACTACCATTTAGATTTGAAAGGGGTTTAGTTTTTAGACAAGGCGTTTATTTTCCCGGACGTTGTCAAGAAATGAACAGAGTGTTTAATTATTCAAGGCGTTTAGATTTTACGCCAAATTACCACTTTACCGAGAGCCATCTAGTAACTTACGGGTGAGTAGTAATGCAATGCCGTTTACTTTTGTTTTTGTGTGAAATATTTAATTTCTGTCTCTCAATTTTAGTAACTATGTTCAGATTTAGAATCTGAGTATAGTGTCTAAAATTCTTGAATGAATTGCATATTTGTTGAATATCGTCCATTCTTCGGTATTGCCGACGTCCGTTGGGAAAAGTCGATTTACAATGAATTGACCATTTTCCCGGTGTAGATAAAACTCAATTTTTTTTTATTTAGTTACAATCTTGTTACTTATAATCTTGTTTTCTGGGTTATTTACCCGCTTCCGCAATTAATAACAACAAGAGAAAAATAGAAATTGTCTGTACATTCCCTTGTTTTTATTCATTCTATACTTAATAAAAACATGGTAATGCACTGACTTTTTCTCATATTGACAGTCAATATCTTTTTTTTCAATTGTCAGATATATGCTAGTCAGGTCCTCCACACGAAAAATCTGGTTAAGTCATCCACGCTGCATTGGTTGACTCGTCCACGTGACTTAGTTTAATTTCGGGAGGTAGAATAAGTCGTCCAGAAATATTCAGTCAGTATAATATGAGTGTTTGATATAAGTATAATTTTCTTTACGCCAAGTAGCAGACTCGCCAATCTACAGCGGTCGCATTTATAAATAACAAACAACAAAATAAATCACTTTATTTGGGTTTCACACTGGGTAGCTTGTGTGAAACACTAGTATTGCTTTTGTTCGGATTCTTCTTCTTCTTACTATTATTTTTTCCACTTGAGCATATCTCAGAAACTACTTGTCGGATCGATTCGATGTCTTCGGTTTTCCTGGGAAAGTGGGTGTGACTCAGAGATTAAAGCTATTTCGAACGTTCTGCGAAAATGCGAAATGTCCAAAATCGCTGAAGTTGTCGGTTTTTTAAATATTGCCGTAATTGGATTATAACATTTGATACATTTTGACATAGCCAGAGACCAGGTTGATTGCTACGATTCTTTAGATTTTTGATTTTCGACGAATCCTCGGAGATGTAAGGCGCCAAATTTTGAAAATTTAAATTTTTACAAAATTTTTTTTTATTAATGAATATTTTTTTATGGCATTTTACCCAGGGTTAAATGGTCGTCTGATTTGAGCAAAAATGTGAACATTTTTTGTCTCAATAATTTTTCTTGGATACTATTGACTAATTCAGTTTATCGGTTCTAGGTTAATTATTTATTGTCCAATTTTTGTAAAACAAAGTTCATATGCTCCACGGTGCAAATTCTCATTTTTTTATTACCGGTAAAGTTTTTTATTGGCACCGGATGTGACGCAATTCAGCTAAAAACTCCGATTTTGACGAGTCGGAACGTCTTTTCGATAGCAAATGTTAATTTTTGCAAATCTGATAGATCAAGATAAATGCTCCTGCAAAAGGCGAAAAAAATCTCGGACTCGTTTTTTAATTTCGGTTTTGTTTTTGCGCCATTTCGATTTAAAGGTAAAAAAAGGTGTAAAAGTGAGCTATTTACAACCCATTCAGGCTTTTCATATTTTAAAATATTTCTTCGTAACTTTGATAAACTTGTACCATTAATCCATACGAAGAGAATTTTTCTCAAAATTAGTTTGTAATATGGGCAGTTGCCGAGAAATGGTGAATTTTGCATGTGTTACTTTTTACGCTATTTCGCCTGTAAAAGAGTCAATTAGTTTTGGATTTTCATAAAAGTGACACCATTTGATGCGTAATGTCAATTGTGACTAGTTCAAACCAATTTAACATTTTCAATGTCACAGAAAATGAGGTAATTTGGGCAAAAACTGTATTTATAGCCTTCGAAACAAATAATTTATTCAATTTAGTCATATTTGTTATTTGTTTAAAACAGATATTTGATTCAAATGAATTGCCAGTTGCGATGAGGGCCATCTGTGACTTCAATGTATTTAAAACAACACTCAAAACTCACCTCTTTAAATGTCACTATTTTTAAGCTATCAAACAATATTTTTAGGCCTTTATGTTTTTTAAGTAATCTTTTTGTATATATTTTGTATCATGTGATTTATGTATTATTTGTAAAGCGCTTTGTGATAATGTATGTAAAACGCTATATTAAGAATAAATCATTATCATTATCATTATCATTATCGTTATGAGTCTGATTTATAATGTTTTTAAAATTATGATATTTGATTCCAATCAACAAATAGATTGAACCCATACGATCATACTGATACCAAAAAATGGTTTCTAACTTGTAAGGTTGCAGAGAAATAGACGATTTTCTACAAGTCACTGTTCAAGGTTTTTGGTCTATGAAAGTGGCAATTATTATTCGATTTACATAAAATTTTCACAATGTGGAGCCTTATGCCATTTCTGATTTCATAAAACTTATTTAACATTTTCATTATCACTGGAAGTACTGTACACTTACATGTAACAAATGTATAAAATGAATTGTTATTGCTGGATTTGGTTGATTCTGCGTACATTTTGTTTGATGTGTACAATGCTTTTATGGAAACCTGTTTAATGGTTTCATCGGTACTGGAAGTGACATATATTCAAGGGTAACGGGGCACCGGTGAAACCCATCATTACTGCGTCGCAGTTCTAGTGATGATTGTTTTTACCAAAAAAACAATCATCCAACACTTGGGCTGTTTTATTTTCCACTTGAGCATATCTCAGAATCTCAGAAACTACTTGTCGGATCGATCCGATATCTATAGTATTACAGGAAAGTCGGCATGACTTAAGAGATTGAATCTATTTTGAACATTCTGCGACAATGCGAAATGTCCGAAATCACCAGGGGGTGTGTGTGTGTGTGTGTGTGTGTGGGGGGGGGGGGGGGAGGGTGGCCGAATGGTTAGCATGTGCGTGCTGTATCATACGGCCTGTCATTGAGTCAACTGGCATGGTTTCGAATCCAACCTCGTGGGTTTTCTCCGGGTCCTCCGGTTTCCTTCCACTGCTAAAGACCCCTACGCGCAAGCGAATTATTGAAATAAAATTAAACCATATGTTAGTCCAGAAATGACCTAGTTTGTGTCGAGTGGACGTTAAACCCCATTTCTCTCTCTCTCTCTCTCTCTCTCCGAAATCACCGAAGTTGTCGTTTTTTCAATTGTTGCCATAATATTTACAATAATCGACAGATTTTAACATTTTGACATTGTCGGAGACAGGGCAAATAGTTAACGTACTTCAGATTTTTGATTTTCGACGAATCTTCGTTTATAATAGGTGCGAAATTTTGAAAATTTAAATTTTTACAAATTATTTTTTTATTTATAAATATTTTTTGATGGAATGTTACACAGGATTAAATGGTCAGCTGACTTGGGCAAAAATGTGAGCGATTTTTTTCTCCGTAATTTGTGCTAGCCGCCATTGGGTAATTCAGTTTTTCGGTCCTAGATTAATTATTTATTGTTCGATTTGTATAATAGAAAGTTCATAAGGTCCGTTTTCCGAAATGTCATTTTTCATGTTACCGATAAAGTTTCCTGTCGGCAACGGAAGTGACATAATTTTATCAAAAACTACAATTTTGACAGTTCGGTACCACTTTTTGAAAGCAAATATTATTTAATTCAAATTTGGTATAACTCAAAGCGTGCGTCCTTTAA